TGAAATCTTTCAGCCTGTGTATGTCTGTAAATGTCATCATTCGACTTTTATTTCAGGTGTGTTTTTTTTTGCAGGGAGTTGGCATAGACTTCCACCCTGACTTTTTCCACTCTCAGTCCTTTAAAAATGTTGCTTCACTGACTTCTCACTTCCATTCCTTTTGATGAGAAATCTGACACAGACTTTATTTTTGTTTTCAGAATGTGCTGTGTCTTTTCTGTCTGGCTGCATTGTGTTGTTGTTTTTTCTTTTTTTCCCATTTTCAATGGATTAGAGCAGTTTAATTATAATGTGACTGGGTATGGTTTTCTTCCTGTTTCTTGTACTCACAGTTCATTTGGCTCCTTAGATTGGTGGGTTCATAACTTTCATTATGATTGGAGTATTTTCTGTTGTGTTTCCTCAAAGTTTTTTTTCTTCAAAAAATTTCTTCTGGATTTTCAGAGACTCCAACCACTCCTATATCAGGCCTTTTAAAGTTGTTCTACCTTTCAATGGCGCTATGTTTTTTTTTTTTAATTACTGGCATTTAATTTTGGACATTTTTAGTTGTTCAAGGTTTATTATTCCCTGGCCTTTTCCTACAATGTCTAATCTGTTGTTGATTCACAGATATTATAATATTCATCTCTAAAGTTTGCTTTTATGCCATTTTGGTGTTCCACATTTCTAATAAACTCTTTGATCATATGTAACATAGTCATGGTAACTGTTTAAAGTCCTCTCTACTGAGTTTTACATCATGTCAATTCTGGTTCAGTTTTGATTAATTATATTCTTTCTTTTACCTCATATTTTCCTGCCTCTTTGCATGCCTGGCATTTTGTTGTTGTTTGGATGCCGGACATCATCAGAAGTCCCCTTCTGGATACTAGCTATTTTGGTATTTCTATGAATTACCTTGAGTTTTGTTTTGGGGTACAGTTAAGTGACTTGTAAACTGTTTGATCTCTTTGGATTTTGCTTTATGATTTTTTGGGTAGGTCATTCAAGGGCTGACTATTCTAGAGCTGTGGTCTTCTCCAAGGTTCATGAGTTATATCAGTAGTCTAGTCTGACCAGCAACAGTGAGTACAATTGCCTGTCCTAGATGAACATTAAGCACTGTTCTATGATCTTGTTCAAAATTTCTTTTCTTGGTCTTCGGCATCTCTCCACAAGCCTACTCTTACTAGAACTCTGCTTACTACTTAAGGCAGACTTTTTTGTATCTCTGGATCGCTTTCTCATCACTGGACCTTTGTTCTCTGAACTCTGGCTGCCTTAATCTCCAGCAAAACTCAGCTTCCCCTTGACAATCCAAACAGTTGGTCTCAGATCCTCCTTCTCTTGCCCAATCTGGACACTCTCTAAAAGCATTAATGTGGGCCAGTGGCAAGACTCACCTTGTTTCTCTCATCATCTCTCAGAGGCTGCTGTCCCCTTTTGCCTGATTTTCTGCTTCTAGAAACTGATATTATATAATTTTCTTTATTTTTCCTTTGGGAGCAAGGAAGAAGGGGAGGGTGAGATCTGATTTCAGGCTGGAGGGTAAATCTGATTTTTTTACTCCACCTTTGTAAGAAGCTGAAGGCATTTTAAGTGTTCTTAGTTTGATTTCAATAGCAGGTGTGCCAATTTATATTCCCATTTTTCCAACTCCATGAAACAGATTTTTTCTTCATATTCTTGTCATCATGACAAACATGATATATGTCTATATGATCCTCTAACAAGGGAAGTGGTACCCTCCTGCTTCAACTAAGCTAGAGGTACAACAAAAGTCCAAGTGGACATCACCCTGTTGCATATGTTCAGCAGCTAAACTTCCAAGATGTTTCTAGAAAGCCTTCCAATAACTCTAATTAATTCTGGTGGTGACCTACTTATTCAAGTCCAGAGAAGACTGACCAGAATGACTTCAAATTGCTTCACACTAAGTTTATTGATAGGAGGGGGAAAACACTGATCTCAGACATTTATTCTTCCCTTTTCTTCATGAATATATTTTTGCCATCTGGATGCACACATTTAATAACTGGTTGACCTCTTATTTAAGGCTGCCTTCACATGCCAATCACTGTCTCTATGTCATTCCTTGACAGTGTTTGGCTGTTTCTGCAAAAATTATCCCATTTGAGACAAATTGTTGGGACCAATAGGATTCTGCACCTGACAATCCATCTTGTGCAGACCTGGTACCAAGAGTTACTAGTCGACCTTCCCTGAGTTCTTCTGTTGAATCTCATGAGCACTCATGTGCTTTTAGGGTCTTACAAAGTAAACCTAACTCTTGGAGATTCTCTCTACTCTCTCGGTGTGTGTCTTTGTCTGTCTGTCATCCTCTGTCCCTCGTATTCTAGGTCTCCCTAAATCTACCTCATTTCTTCTCCTTTTCATCTTTTATTTCACCATTGCACTAGATTGCTTTTAATCACTGAGCACTACTCAGGCAATTATTAGATGCCAGGCCCTGCTGTGGGGGAAGGGGGAGATAAATGCTGCATTTTGAGTCAACTCAAGGTCTCTGCCCTGGTGAGTCCACATCTGGAGGCATCGAAAAGGGACAGTGTAGTGGGAGCAGAACTGGTTCCTGGTAGTGTGTTTTTTCCAGGCTAATCTGCTCATCTCTGCCTAGGGTTCTAGCAGTGATGGAGATAAAAGAAGCATAATGAAGATGATAACACTAGGATGGATGACTTCAGATTTAGAAGGCAGGAAACCAAGAACCAAAACCTTTTTTAAAAGTATTATTACATAAACAAGCACTTTAAAGAAACAGCAGACTTTCAGTGACAGCACCCCACTTCCTGGAGCAGACATTCCATGTGTTCCACAATTCTTACAGTGACATTGATGGACACAGTCACTAACCTACTTATAAAAGGTACCTGAGCCTCCTCTTAACCTGTTCACATATGGCCATTCTACAATCTAGAAACATAGGAGGCAGCATTGAAGTAAAGCAGTGTTTCTCATTTCTATCTCAGTTATACATTATACAGGCAAAGATCACACATCAATTAATTTAATATCAGTCAAAGACTTCAAAGATAAAATAGACCTTAACATCAAAAGTTGATCTGACATATAATAGAGAAATGTATGTTGGAATCATACAGTAAATGATACCCTAAATTGTAAGTAGACTAATTAAGTGACTATGATTTCTAGAATTATAATACCAATCTCCATTTAGCATATATGGTATACTTAATTTACTGGAACACATAATTTTAAATTTTATAGACATAAATATTTATTGGATTTTAAAAATTTTGATAAACAAGTAAAACCAGTATAGAAAATTTAGGCAGTTCAGTGTTATTAGAATTTTGAAGAGAAAATAAACCCAAGACTTGTGCAAACTATGATATTATGCTACCAATATTTTCCATATTATTACAATATTTGGAAAACAAAGTAGTTTTTAGACCTAAATTACTAAACTGGTGTGATGCATACAAGGAGTCTTCTCTAGAAGTACAACAATTTCTGTACGATCACATATCAATTATTATAATTTTCTATAGTGTTAAAATATTTGAGATTTATCCTTATTATCAACTTGAATTATTATACTAGCACACTAGGTACATACTAATTTGTTTCTATGATAAAATAAAGCTTAACTTTTTGCTTTTTTCTTCTTCAGAGTTACAGTTCAGTGAGAAATTTCAACAAAAACTCCTTGGATGTTATCCACTGGAATTCTCAACCTAGAAGCTGTATCAGTACCTTATTTTTGGGAGGGACAGAGTGGAATGAACACAGACACAGTGGAATCAATACAAACTACAAATCTGAATGCTGGCAAAAAGGAATCAAACCCAGTCTGTGGTGGTGAAAGCCCCAAATCCTAGCCAATAGACCACCAGGGAACCTCACAAAGTGTCCTATTTAGTGTCTCCACATAAAAACTAAAGTAAACATTATATTCCATAGTTGCTGAGAGCAGGAAAGGAAGCGATTCCCAGCGGCCCAGGGCTGAATAAAGCTGTGCAAGTCTCCCAGCTCGTGCCCTGCTGTTCATTAATTACCCTTCCCCTCTCCTCTCCTGGGCCATACTTTGGGCTCTGGGGCCAGGCTGAAAGGTGACAGGTTGGGTTCCATCCTGGTCTAGCTTTAGCTCTGAATGCATCAGAGCCAAGGTCAAGCTCTTTCTGAACCTCTGCTGTCCTTATGAGTCAGGTGCTGACTGGCTCTCAGGGGGTGATGAGTGGATCGCCCTACTTCCTGATCTCTGACCTGGCTCAGGTGCCTCTCCTGCTAATGGCACGTGTATGGGCACCTTTTCATGCCCGGGCAGCTAGCTGAGCAGAGTTCTTTTCTACCCGTCTTTGGCTCCAGACCCCGGTTTCTATTGCTCTTTCATGCAAACCAAGTGTGCTGAGGTGGGAAAAATCAAGAGTGCTTCAGACGGATGAACTTCTTGGTTTTCAGAGCCATAATGTGTCAGGGTGTAGAGGAAATATAGGCTCCAGAGGAGCTGAGGGGATTTCCGGAGGCAAAGGTTTTGTTCTGTGCCTTCCTTGGAGTAACTGGTTGTGCGCTGGAGTCCACAGTGACTCAGACAAAGGAGGCTTGGTTTGTAGTGCAGAGCAGGCTTTCTGGCTGTCACGGAACTCCTGTGTCTTGGGGATGGAAAATGCAGCAACATTCGAGGTCTCACTCCACGCCGCTGGCCTCTTTTTTGTGTTTAAAATGTAAATCTGAACTCTGGGAAAAGCAAAGCTGTTTCCGCCCGGTTTCGAACCGGGGACCTTTCGCGTGTTAGGCGAATGTGATAACCACTACACTACGGAAACCACACGGGTATATATCTCTAATGACATACTCAAGAATTCTATGTGTGACCACAGTGGCCCTCAGAAATTTTCGAAGGAAGGGGATCCTGGAAGCACAGGCTATCCTTTAGATAAAGAGACTGGCTTCTGAAAGGCCCTGGTTTAGGGTTCCTCCCTTCTGGAGCGAGGTCCCCGGGGACCCCCGACAGTTTAACCTCGGGATCCTGCAACTAGAGTACAGCTACGCACCGGAAAGCAGGGCTCGCCCTCGCTGACTCCCCAGTTCCCGGAAGCCGCAGGAGCCTGGGGCTTTAGGTGCCTCTCAGACCCAGACCATCCCGACGCCCAGGAGGAAGGACACAACCCCTTACGGGCTGCAGACACGCGCCTCAGTGGCCTTTTTCACGGCGCCGGCGGTCAGTGGGCTCGGCTCTCGGAAATGATCCATGCTTTAAAGCCACCCGGAACCGAGGACCCGCCCTCCCCTCTGTTCCGATGCGCCTAACCCGCGCGCTCTTTCCTCGCAGCCCTTTCACAGCCTCGCTTCTCCAGCGTCGTCCCTGGGAAAGGGGATTCCTCAGGTTCCTGCCTCTGTGGCTTATTCTAGTCAAGTTTATGTCCAAGTCTTTCGTCACACTTTCACGTTTTAGCAGGAAGCGCAGCAAAGGCTGACGGCTCAGGGCTTTTGTCTGTTTGGAAATCCCGAACGTGAACGCGGGTCGGGCCTCCCAGCCTGTACTGAGTTTGCCTGCAGACCAGGCCCTGCATAGGGCCGCGGAGGAGCCAGGCTCGGTCCACCCAGATCTCATGGTGGTTCATCCCCACCTTATTGTGCTTGAGATTCTGCTTGAAGGACAGCTTTGTTTTACCTTTTACAATGCCTGAAACGCCTTTTATTTGCCTTCTATAATATTTTCCAACAGGTCTTGGAGCTCGAATTTTAACCCTAGGAGGAGAGATAAAGGCGGTTTTCCCGGAAAACAGGGGTTTTCCTGTTCTGTCTGGAGGGGTTTTCGTGTTCACCTCACAGCAGGCAGTATCTTTTTGCTGAAAGACTTTAATGCAAGGTTGTCTGTGTGTCTGTCTGTCTCTGGTTTCCTTTAGAAGGGCAACAAGTTTGGAGGTGCATGTTCCGTTTTCTCCGGCAGTGGTTTTCTCCTTTTCTTAGTGCGGCAGTCAACGCCTTTTCTTCCGGTCAGGGGATCCTACTCTGGGGAAGGCACGGGTCGCGTGCACACCGGCCCCCAGGCCGCGGGTCTCCGTCTGGTTCCGCGTGGACTCCGACTGCAATCGAGGGTGCGACCGCGCGGCAGCATCCTCACCAGCGCTGGAGCCTGAGTCCCCAAAGAGGCGGACTTGAAAGCAGCTTTAGATGGGGACGTTTCATGAGCTTTCCCCTGTTTGCCTCCCCTGCAGGTCCTAGTTTTCACCTTCCACGTTCAGCCAGAGGAACGGATTCGCCAACTTTCTGTCGCCTCCGGCGGCGCTGCCGTCTCACGTCGATTGGACCGGGAGTCGGTGGTCGTTTTCCGGACGGGGCGGAGGGACCACAGGCGTCCGACGGACCACAGACACACGGCTCCCTGCATCCGCAAGGGAAGGCGCGGGGCTCCTGAGCCCACGAGGGGAGCGCGCTGAGGGGAGCCGGCCCTGCCCCTGCCCATGAGGCCGGGCCCAGGAGAGGGAAGCCGCCCAGCACGGAGCCTAACTGCAGCCCAACCGCCCCCACCATCCTCACCTGAGCTTCAGGGTGAGGGAGCCGAGAGTTCCACTGATTTCCCGCCTTTATCAGGAAAGTCGTTTACACAAATCCAGATTCTAGAACAAGAGGGCCTATGTAGGCCAAAGTCCACATGGGCCGAGAAGCAAACACAAAGTCCTAACTGGATGTGGGGTCTGAGAAAAGCCCTGCATCAGAGACTACTCTTGGTCTGAGCGCGAGGAAGTTGGAGTCATCCAAGGTGCGGATACGGCAGGCGCGGCAGATCTTGGGGGAAGACCTGGAATCCAGGTTTGGTGAGAGATCAAGCTCTCCTTCTGAACCTGTTTCCTTGTGAAGCAGGGGCCACTTGGCTCTCAGTCGGTGATGAGCGGGTCCGTCTACTCCCTGATCTCTGACCTACTTCAGGGCCTCTCCTGATAATGACACAAGGACCGGTTGCTTTTCCTCCGCGATCAGCTCAATCCGCAGAGCCTGACGCTCTTCGTCCTGCGTGTTTGGCTCCAGCCGGCGGTGTAGAGTTGAATTCGTGCTCTTTTGTTCTGTGACTCAAATTAGGTGTCTCTCATGTGTGCTGGGGTGAGGGAAAGCTAAGTGTCTTCACAAGGAATGAACTTCTTAGTTTTCAGAGACATAGTAGGTGTCAGCGGTAGAGGCTATTTAGGCCCCAGAGGAGAAGGTGCGGGGATTTCGGAAGGTAAAGGTATCCCGAAGTCAGTCTTGCCCTGTGCCCTCCTTGGATTCACTGACTGTGGCTTGGTCTACAGTGTGCCTCAGAGCAGAGAAACCAGGGCTGGTTCTAGGGCCGATGGGGCTTTCAGGTGGCAAGAAACTCCTCCCATGTTTCTTGGGCCAAGGAAAATTCAAGAGAACCCACTACTGCCACACCTTCTACCCCCGTTTCAGTTTCTTGATTGGGAATGTAAATCTCAGGAAAAGATCACATCTGTTCCGGCCGGGTTTCGAACCGGTGACCTTTCCCGTGTGAGGCGAACGTGATAACCACTACACTACAGAAACGAGGTCCGTGTTGGAGCTTGACCCTGTGTCCACTGAAAAACCTCAGGTCCTGCCGGCACTCTCGTGGTCACCAGTCTTTCAAATAGAAGAATGAATCTGGAACCATCAGTCCCAGGCGAGGAGACTGCGGCTCCCAAGAGCCCCTGCTTTAGGGCTCCTCCCCTCCCCCGAAACAGGGCCCCTTGGGCCCCTCAGAGTCTGGCTTCCGGATCCCACACCCAGTGCAGAGTCTCCAGCTGTGCTGCTATGCACCCGAGGGCGGGGGTCGCCTCTGCGGCCGCTTCAGCTCCCGGAAGCCACAGGAGTGGGCATGGGGGGTTTGGCTTTGTTTGAGACCCGGGTGACCCGGTTGCCCAGCAGTGTAAACGCCGCTCCTCCGGTGCCGTGGACCAGCGCCGGCGCCACCGTGTTCACCGCGCAGGGAGTCGGCCTTTTCGGCGCTCTCGGAAATGACCGATGTTTCGAATCCACCCGGGAGCCGTAGGACCTGCTCTTCTCGCCCTCCCTCTGCTTCGAAGCGACTTCCTCGCAAGCCCTTTCCCCGCTGGGCTTCCCCGCTGTCCTCCCCGCAGAGGCCTGGGGGTGGGACTGCGGGCGCCCGGGTCCTGCTGCTGTTGTGTATGCCAGTCGAACTTTAGAGTCCTGTTATTTAATCCCATTTTCACGTTTTAGCAGGTATTGTAACAAAGGCTCTGCTGTAGGGCTTTTGGCTCTTTGACGCGGAACATCAACGCAGGCCGATCAAACTTTCTAGGCCTGTACTGAATTCAGTTGAAGCTCTGGCCACCAGACTGTTCAAGAAGCGCTAGGGGCTCTGGACCTGCCTGAAGATCCTGGAAAAGTCAGTGCAGGTTTCAGATCACAGGATCTCTCCGTCTTTTCTGAGATTATTTTCAAAAGGGCAGTTTAATTTCAACTATTAGAAATTAAACTTCGTTTTATTTGCCTGCTTAATTTTCCTGCTTAGCGGGTCAGGAAGTGGGATTTTAACCATGAGGAAGAGTCAGTTTTCAGAGAAAGGTAGTATCTGAAAAGTTCCCACGTTTTCCACATAGCAAAAGACCATGAACAGAAAGCATTTTTTTTGTTGAAAGATATTAATGTTTTTTCTTCTTGAGGAGTTTTTGACATGAAGTTAAAAATAAAAGCTGGTTTAACTGTATTCTTTTTTCCTCCATCAGTTGATTTTCCTTAAAAAAAAAAAAAAAACCCAGGTATTTATTTATTGATGCTCTGGGTTTTCATTGCTACACTGAATCTTCGTTGCTGTGCTGGGGCTTTCTCTAGTTGCTGGCAGCCAGATTACTCTTTCATGCTATGGGCCTGACGAAATGTGGGATCTTTCCAGATTAGGGATCGAACCCATGTCCCCTGCACTGGCAGGTGGATTCTTAACTGCTGGACCACCAGGGAAGTCCCCAGCAGTAGCTTTTCTTCCTATAATAAATTCCCTCAATTGTTCATACTCAAAAAATTCACCCCTCATCCCCCAAGGCAGGAACAGGAACATCCTGTCCTCAAGGTCAGTATTGTTCTGCTTTGGCTCAAAATGGGACAGGAATTGACTCTGTCAGCTACACCAGAGACTGGAATGACAGTTCCAGGTGATGCCGACGTCATGATAGCTTAATCAGAAAATTTCCTGATACTTCGCTTCCCTCTTTGATCTATCTCCCTCTTTCCCCACCCATTCAGAGAACAGGATTCATTCTCTTCCTGCCTTGGAGGACACTTTGGCATCCCTTCTAGACAGAATAAAGGGAGTGGTTGCCCTTTCCCCTACAGGACTGGGAACAGCTAAGGGCACCAAAGGAACCACAGACTCAGTTCCTGGACCCCTGGGCACCTACGCCCCCAGACAAACCCCAAAAAGCACTGCCTGAAGCTTCTCTGCCAGCTGAACAGGGATGTGTGGGGTTCCTGACTCAGAGGAGCAGCCCGAACAGTCCTCAGATATGTCCCTGAGCTTCCAGGACAGGCCTGGAAAAAAGCTGAAGTTGAGGGTAGAGCCAGGGAAAAAGTGCAAAGGACAGGCTAACCCCACCACCTTGAGACTGTCTGGAAACTAAGATCTTGAAGGAGCTGAGGATCTCATTTTAGGTTGGTCTCTACTTTTATCCAATCTCATTTAGAGAACAGGAAAGGGTAGGACTGTGAAGAGCAAGGTCCAGACTTAACAAACAAGAAAACATGCATTCCTGACTAATTAAATATGGTATTTGAGTAAAATACTGGCATTAAAAAGAACTCTATGGGGAATTTTTTACTCTAAGCATTGGGAGGATGGGAGCAAAGAATTTCCACTAAGGATGAAAACAATACGGGTGCAAAATGGTTTTCTCAGGGGAATATCCAAAGTTTTTCCCCAGGCCCCTAGGCCTTGATTAAAAGAGATAATAGATTTGAACAGATAGTTCAGAAAGGAAGATATATTCATGTCCAATAAAGCACACAAAAGTGTGCTTTATATGGTTAGCTATCAGAGAAATGAATACTGAAACCACACTGTGAGACCACTATTCCTAGTAGCATGGCTAAAATTAAAAAGACAAAAAAAAAAAAAACACTCAGTCTTGGCAAAGATGTGAAAAAAAATCACAACTTTCATACAATGTTGGTGGGAATATAAACTGATAACAACTGCTTTGGAAAATGCTTGGGTGGGTTTTATGAACTTGAGCGTATACCTTGTTTGGGTATCAGTAATTCTTCACCTAGATATTTTTCCAAGAGAAGGGGAAACATATGCACAAAATCTCCTGTGT